TACTTTTACTCAAGTACGGAAAGTGAGTACTTTTGCCATCTCTGGTGTTATATTATATATAACACTTCTTTTTTTTAATGACACATAAAAATGATAATTGTCTGAAAAGACTCTATACAACATGGTGCATAGGTCTCCACTGTTTTACAGCTGAGTAAGACCTTTTTTCTTTTTTTAATAAAGTGAAATTGTAAGTGAAAGTGTAATGTTGGATCAAATAGATAAAGTTGTCTTTCTGTCTCCTTCTGCAGGTACGTCACAGCCTCTGTGGTTTACCCATTGTTCTTTGTCCGATCTGAGTGCCCGTATGAAGGCTGTGAAGTCAGAGATTTCCGCATTGCCGTCACTGTCTGCTCCATCCTGGGAACTCTGGCCTACGGTGCCGAAGTGGCTCTGTGTCGGGCCAGACCAGGCCAGATTGTGGCGGGCTACATGGCAACCGTCCCTGGCCTTCTTAAAGTCGTCCAGGCCTTTGTTGCCTGCATCATATTTGGAGCTCTTGCCAACGGAAGCCAGTTTTCACGCTATGCTGCCACAATCTACTGCGTGGTAGTCTACGCTTCTTGCTTTGCTCTCACTGCCTTGGTGGTGATAATGACAGTATGTAAACGCACCAAAACTGTGAGGTGCATGCCCTTTGAGCGCTTTGTGGTGGTGTGCACTTTCCTGGAGGTTTTGCTCTACCTAAGTGCTTCAGTGGTGTGGCCGGTTTTCTGCTTTGACACAAAGTACGGGTCTCCATGGAGACCATCATCATGTCCACAGGGCAAGTGTCCTTGGGACAGCAAAGTGGTGGTTGCTGTCTTCTCCTGTGTGAACTTTGGTCTTTATCTGGCAGACCTGCTTTACTCACAGAGGATCCGATTTGGCTCATCACGTGTTCCTGCTCACTCACGGGTGTAGAACCACTTGTTTTAGAACTGTTTGTTTTAGAAAGTTGAGATATCTACACATATGTTAAGGATAACGTACTTAAAGGTGGTACCAACTAAATGAGTTGGATTTAAACATCAATTATATGTTATATATTTAGAGAAAATAAATTAGCATAGTTTTTTTATTGTTAATTTTTTATTTCTTTAGCATGTTCAGCTTGGTCCTTATCAAAGGCAGCATGATGTATTTTGTGTGCTTCAAAAAGTAGGAAAGTGGACAGTCATTTGGGTAAAATAAAGAAAAAGCCTGAACCTTAGAGATGTGTCATCCTTTAGCTGATAATACAAATTGAAAGGTGGTTAGAAATCAAATTGTTGCTACTAACTAAAGGTTCTTTTATTGTTACAACCAATTATTTTGTCTGATAAAACTAAAACTAACTCAGTATATCATGAGCAGAGAAAACCTGGAACTGCTCATGATATATGAGCTATATATATATATATATATATATATATATATATATATATATATATATATATATATATATATATATATATATATAAAGAGTTAGATGAAAGCAGCCAAATGTGGATATATCCTTAAAGGAAAACTCGCCAAAAGCCTGGATTTACTATCACTATACCATCTGACCTAACTAAGCTGGAGAAGACATGCAGAATGATGTGGAAAAATAAACTCTAAAACAGAAGATTTAAGATGAAAAAATACACACTAGTAGGAATGCTTATGGAATTCCTTTTGGAAAAATAAAGGGGGAAAAAACTCATTTAGTCATTGTTGAGTATTATGAGTGGAAATTTGAGGGAAAACAAAAATTTTATTCATAATGGAATAAATCTGTAAAATAATACAAAACAGAAAATATTGGTTCAGATAAACACTCTATTAAACTTCCAACCACCAGCTAGGGTGACAGATCTAAAAAAAAAAACAAATATGTGACAACAAGGATACTCATGAGGGACAATGTGAGACAAATGCAGTTTTTTTCTTCACAAAAAGCTCACTGAGAATCACCTTTCACTGGCTTCACCCAGTTATAAACCATTCAGCCAAGTTTGTTTCTTGTATCTTGTAGGTATGGAAAAAAAAAAAAAAATTAATCTGTAAAATGGACCAAAGCTGCTTTTTTTGTACCTGAATTGGTCAGAATTAACTAGTTTAAGTAAAAAAATATACATATATATTGAAAAAAAGGTAAATTATTTGACTAAAAATTGATACAGATATGAAAAAAAATTTTTTGAGGAATTTTGGTATTTCTACTATTTGATTACAACTAAATGAATATAAAGTAGTTTTTTTAAAGCTGATAATAAGATCATATCTATTTCATGTATAGTGTTTGCTGAAACACAAGGTAAACTCAAATTCAGAGAACTGCTTAGGAATTTTTCCCATCTTAGACACACCCCACATAAGCGACATCCTATCTCTTTAAATAATCCCCTGACCCATTCCTAACCAAAGCTTTCACAGACCTTAAGGTACATAGAGCTAAATGCTCAATGTGCTGCACTATTTCTCAATGGAGTAACACTGAGTACTCTGACTTGTGATTTGAATGTTTAATAAAATAATTGATAGTAATATACGACATAAATTGTACATCTGGTCATGGCATCTGTGCTATTCCTGCCATCTGCAAACCCCACACCCAGCAATTTACAGGCTTCACCACAGCTGCCAAAAATAAACACAACCCATCTGCACTCATTCTGAAGCAGTGACACAGCATTTATAGGACGCCGCTGATGTTAAAGCTTCTCTGAGAGCTGTCCTTTCCTATTTATACCAAATAAATTTACACCAGTTTTAGAGAGAAAAGCCAGTCCCACCATCTTTTTACCTACAGTTTAAACTATCATGTTTAAAGGCAAGATACGATTGTAATTTTACAATGAGAACAAGGTCAGTGTGACTTAGTAATGTTTGCGTATTTACTCTCCAAACAAAAATCCCACATGCACTTTGGCCATTCAAATTTCCTTTATTTAAAATATAAAAAATGCAATTCCTTTGAAAATGCTGGGTCAATACAGAATAGGTGTGCTGCTCTGCTGAAGAAGCTAAACTAAAACAGACACTAGTAGTGGAAAAATATAATAGCAGAAGATCTTTAGAAAAACTCTTGAGAAAATACATTAAAAGAATAAATAAAACAAAACAGAAATATATCCATGTAATTTTAAGTGATGATGGACCAGCATACTAGCGTTAGAGAACAGCACTAGCACATATAGTACAACAGCACACATTGCTATATTAAAGGTATAGTGGAGGATTTTCGCTAAGTTTTGAAAAGACCCACCCTCTCCATTTAAAAAAAAATGCACATGCACAACCCTGTACCCGCTCCCGAGAGGGGATGCTTATTAAACGCGTGAGAGAGCATGCACCAGCCCATTTCTCCACCTGCATGCTCTGTTAACAAGTTGCTGTTTGCATCGCTCATACAAGCTTACTTTCCAAAAGAAGATTCACAATTTTTCTACTATGTCAGGCTCACCACCGTTAAGTGAAATTTGGGATGAGCCCGTTGGACAGCCTTCACCAAAATGATTGACAATTAGGACAACCACTTATTTTGATGATCCACCCAGAAAAAGAACATCCTCCACTAGATCTTTAAAGCATTAAAGAAAATATGAACAAGAAAAAATGCACAAGTGGAAATCTTTGAACATCTGTTTAAAATTTGCTTATTTGTATTGTTTTAGCAGAAAATAGCTAAGTCTGCCACTTTTTTCATTATCATATGTTTAGCATAAGCTAAAGTTCTTAAAAGGACCATGTTAGCAATACAGAGCAATTCATTTCTTTGCTAAATTAGGTAGTATCTTGGAACTGTTTAATATGAGCTGCTGTCCTAATAGCAGCTCTTATGTTTGCAAAAAATACCAATTTTTTTTTTTTTTTTGCTACAGTAGAATTAGGATCATAAGATAATATTACAGGCTTGACTAAAATGCAGCTAAAGAACCATCCATCCATATTCCGTCACGCTTATCCCAAAGAGGGGTCGCAAGGGGTGCTGGTGCCTATCTCCAGCTGTCTACAGGCTTGAGGCGGGGTACACCTATGACAGGACGCCAGACTATCGCACGGCAACACAGAGACTAGCAGGACAAGCAACCATTCACGCAAACACTCACACTTAAGGAGAATTTAGCAGCCATGTCAACAGTCATGTTTTTGGGCTGTGGGAAGAAGCCGGAGCACTTGGAGAGAACCGACGCATGCTCAGGGAGAACATGCAAACTCCATGAAGACCTGGAGCCGGGAATTGAACCCGAAACCTTCTTGCGCAGGGAGTAGGGCTCAAACTCAGAACCTCAGAATCAAAAGCTCTATGCCCTAACCACTAGGACATTGTTCTCCTCTCCTTGTTCAACAGCTCATGCTCAGAATCAAAAAACAAACTAATCTTTTCTCCTTTTTCAGCCCTTCTTTTTGACTTTTGTAATCTCAGTTAATCTTTTGAATCTAATCTAGGATCAGCATTGCTATATCAAATCTGTTGATAATAATGAGAAGCACGTTCAGCCACTTAGTCAGCACTGAATCCAACACCAGCTGGCCGCTTTGTTTAAATCTGATTAAGACTGTAAAGGACGTCACTGTGTGATTCGGAGGTTTGCAACTTCACTCATTCTGCCAATTTTTGAAACAAATCAGTGTGAAAACGAGTGGCTAATATGTACCTAAAGCAATTAGAGAAAAAAATTATTACAGCTTTCACAGAGAGTATCATCAGCACAGAGTCTGTCACTCTTAATTACTCCTTGATCCTCAGCAGACCTCCTGCTTAGCAGCTGCTTCATGTTCACTCATTTTCCTCCCTTCTGGCCCCTGTCTTAAACATAGCAGCAGAGTGACTCGTCAGACAAGGATGAGCTGTGACAGATGTCCATCATAACTGTCCCTTCTCGGTTTAGCTACTGAGGGCCCATGGAACTACCATTGACGGCTGGTTTACGACTAATCCCTGATGTCGTATGTCTCTGAAGCTGTTTCCTCCCTGGAGTTCTTAGCTTTTGTTAGACAAATGTGTGGATTGTTGCTGGCATCTGAATCTTTTATCCAGTGGATGTAGGTTCATAGCAACATCACACACCTGAGTTTCTCTAGCAAGCGACTGTAAAACAGTCAAAATTTCTATTTATCAATAGACTCAAGGTCCATGTGGACATGAAAACAACACAACTAAGAACCACAAAATATAAATTACATCTTTAATGTAATGATGTGTTAAAGGTCTGAGTTAAACAGATCATTCTAGATAGAAAGATAACACATTTTAGAAGGACAGTTTTCATGAGACAATACCTGTATTATAGCCATAACATTTGTGAGTGCACTGAGAGTTAAGTCTTTGTTTATGTCACGAGAGAATCCAGTATTCAGGCAAGACAGACAGTCAGTGGGATTGCTCAAAAAGCGTTTATTTAAAACAGGCGAATTGAAGTAGCTGCAGCTAGGGCATCAGAGGTAGGAAACTTTTGGGAGAAGAAACACAGGTTATTGAAAACGTAAATCTAATCGAGGAAGATTATGAACGTGAGTCACTAACCTGGTTTGCAAGTTCAGTCCGTGCACAGAAAACAAGGTAGGATCCAGCCGATAGGCTGCCAACTAGATGCTGCATGCTCAGCCCAGGGTTTCCCAAATGCTGCAGCCCCGGAGAACATGCAGAAGTCCTAAGACAGGTCAAGGCAAACAGATCAGAACAGGCAGGCTCAGTGGTTGAGAGTCGGCACAGGTCAGGATCAGGATATCTGAAACACTAAAGGAACTCTAAAAACACTCTCACCACTGGCTAGAGAGAACAAGAATAATCTTGCTCTGATGACTGGATATAAGCTGTTAAATAGAGGCAGGAGCAGGTGGATCAGATGAGGAGTGTTGAGAAACCAGGCAGAGTTACACAGGTGAAATAAACGAATAATTAAGCCAGTCATTAGCACCAAGATCGTGACAGCTTATTTTCAAAATTATTAAATCCATACTTATGAAATATGTTACGAAGGTTGTTTTTTTTTTAATAAAACATGTAGTCATAGCATTATATTGTGTTGGTATTAGGAGTCAGTGGTTGTAACTTCATCAGTTTTAAACAATTCACTGTATTCTCTTGCCCAACTAAAACCGGATGATTACAGTGCACATGCTTGATGATTACAGCTTCAATTATTGGTGATAGATGGGCCTGTTTTTCAGTGTTTAGTCCTGTTTTTTTTTTAGATAGGTCCAACATCGTTTTGAGCTGGAAACAGGTTCAGAACTCATCCACTAAACTGTTTTATTTTCCAAATAGAGCCACCTATGAACTACTTTAACATTAAATACAACAGGCTTAAATCAGAAGGCAACCGTCTTTAGTTTTTTTCAAGACGTTTCGACACCTTTCCAGCAGTCATTGTCAATTAATTTGGCTTGCACCAGCGTAATCTGCAGTTGGAGAGCTGATGTAATTAAGCAGTATGGATGTCCATCCTCCTGAGGTACAACGTCTGTGCTCCTTAAATACATCAGCACTCCAACTACAGATTCTGGTGCGAGCCAACAGAATTGACAAAGACGACTGGATGTTTCTGACTGTATGATCTGGTGAACTGTAAAGTGCCTTGAGATGACATATGTTGTGAATTGGTGCTATATAAATAAACTGAATTAAATTGATAGCTCTCGAAACGTCTTTCAAAAAAAACTGAGCGAAAGTCCAGTTGCCTTCGTCGTTTTTTAGCTATGACCCGGATGACTGAGAATTTACAAAGGCTACTTTACTATTACTTTGTATAATTATATACGTTTTTTTTTTTCTTTCATCATCTTGGAAACCAAAAAAAAAATGTTTTAAATTGAAGTATCCTCTACCATAGAAAAGCCAGTGAATATCTTATATAGCTTTTTCTCTGCAGGTCATTTTATCTTCAGACTATTGTTCTTGAAACTGTATACAGCTGTGAGAAATTTTCCAGGTTTGATAAAGGCTGTTGCTTTGCTTAATTGTTTTAATTTATGTCTGTTATTTTCTGTATTATCATTTTAACAAAAAACAAATAAACAACTTGAAAGCATCTCCAGATAATATTTTTTCTCTGTCATCCTCTTGTTGACATCATTTACTGACTAAATCACACCAATTCGAGCCTTAAATCACCTTCAGCAACAGTCTGTCGTGACAATTTCTCTGGATCCCCTGGTTTAATGCCTCCCAGGTCTTGTTTCATTTTTATGAATCTCTCAGGGTTTTATAAAACAAGAGCAAAATCATGTCACGGCTCAGCGCTTCTACAGAGTCTGAGTCAACACAAAAAGGGACAGACGCAGGCAGTGACAAACTTTGTGCGTCAGTAAGAATAAGAGAGAAAGCTACTGGGGTAATTCACAAAGAGCTTCAACCTGTATAAGCTGACTTCAATAGATTTGGTATGGATTTGCACTTTTGATTAATCCAATATCAAAGTGTAAAATTACGTTATTTTTGTATAAAAATGAGTCACCGCAATGGCATTTAGTTGATATTTGGTTTACTCGATTTGTTTAAATGTACAGTATAAAATTCTAGAGATATAAAAAAAGAATGTTTCTGCAGAATTTCTGAATCTTAAATTCCTAAAACCATCCATCCATCCATCCATCCATCCATCCATCCATCCATCCATCCATCCATCCATCCATC